TTCCAGTTACAGCAAGCTTAAGCTGTTTGTCTAAGGCGGTGGGAAAAACCAGTCAGCTGGCTGCAACCACACAGAAATAAACCTGCGTACTGTAAATTAATTACTCAATTAAAATCACTGATTTGACTCTGTTTGTACATTGACATGGGGTATTCGTCATACCGTAATCTAAAATTGCCTATACTAATGACTGCCATGGTAACAGGGATTTTTAGTCCTCACGCTGCAATTGGATTACCATGAACACACAAAGCAACACTAGTGATGTGCTATTTGCCAAATGTTACAGATCGTGTATGTACAGGACATTCTGAGTTTCCAAATTTCCATAATTACTTTTCTTTTTTCCCCCGTTAAAGGTTTTTTTTTGGGGAGTTTTTCCTTATCCGCTGTGAGGGTCCTAAGGACAGAGGGATGTTGTATGCTGCAAAGCCCTGTGAGGCAAATTGTGATTTGTGATATTGGGCTTTATAAATAAAATTGATTGATTGATTGATTTTTTTTTTCAGCCTGGACAAATAATATTAACCGAGTTGATGGGATTCCTCTTTACTGGCCGTCCATCAATCAGCAGCCACTTAATTAATACCAATAAAATGTGCATCTGGAGTCCCTCTCCTGTGAGAAGATCCTGTAGGACTGCTTTTTATTTTATCTTTTCATTTTATTTTTTACCACCAACTGCTTATCTCTTCTCTGCCCAAACAGTTTCTTGTTGAAAGAAGCCTCAGCTTTAGCTGCGGTGTGGTTGTGCTGATGAAGGCCAAGTGAGGAAAGATGTAAGATCAGAAAAAGAAAGATGGCAGAAAGGAGAAAGGTGAGACTGAGCTCATCAGGTATATAACATGCTAATGCTCTGCATAAAGGCTATAGCGCTGAACCTACAGTGTGTTTCATCTGCACAGGAAGACAACTTTATTAAAAAGACAAAACGTCATGGGGCTGGTACAGCTCCACAGTTGTTTGCTTTCATCCAGGGCCTGTGAAAAGACCTGGTAATAAATCAAGTAGACACATGAAAGCAGATAGTGTAGTATCCTGTGACTGGGGACGCAGTGAAGGAGTCTGATATTTAGATTCCCTGAAGATACACTAAGAGGCTCAGCTTCTCTTGTGTCTCTGCACTACACAAACAGACATCAGAGAAGTATTGAGACATGCTGATGAGGAATATCCAACAACGTGTGGAAGCCTGTTATCTAAAAGGGTCTTCAGAGAGATGTGAGGGTAGAAGAGAAGCAGCGGGTGAGAGAAAAGTGAAACAAAAGCTTCGATAGAAAGCAAAGCAGCAGAGGAAAGGTAGAGGGGGGAGTCAAGAATCCTGAAGGACTTTAAAGATGGTAATTTGGAGAAAGCAGCGGTGATGAAAGGAAATTATTCTGAGTGAATGTGACTGTGGAGCACCATGAAATTGAGAGGGAGCAATAAAGGCAGAGGCAAGACTGAAAGTAAACTCTGCTACATCTATAGAAAATGGTCAATAATGAAAACAAATGAAGCTGCTCGGGAGAACTGCCGAGAAAAAAATAATAAAATTACATTTTTATGTGCTAAATACAACAGAAATTTTCAGTTTACACATTCATCTTGTCACATACTTAGAACAACTTATATAAACTGCTATTTACTGTACATGATATCTGAGTGAGCGAGCTCCTTTGCATACAGCCTAACACAGCACATTAGTTTTAAATTGACATGTCACTCAAAAAATTTGATTGACATATCATTCTTGACGTGGCGCCATGTCAGCGTTATTGTTGTGTCAGCATGCAAGGAGACAGGAACACTAGATGAGCTGAAACTCAACCAAACAGTTTTAACTTTGTCTTTCTAACGTCTTTGTCCAACTGTACAAACCTTTGTGTGATTAAGCCACTTGGTCACATGAACGCATATCTGCATTTGAATGTGGGGCAAGATTGATATTTTAATGTCTGTTTGTTGTCCGTTTATAGTCAGAGTAGTAGGCCTACTGACCAATCATGGTTAAGCAGGCTTTGGGTGCATGAATACAATTGAATTTCATGTTATGTGATGGGTACGATGCATTTTAACATAGTTAAAATACAGAGCATGAGATTATTGTGCCACACAAAGAGTTTATAGCTATTGCTGATGTTAAATTGTTGTCCCTAGTTGGGCTTTTCCATGTAGTTACATGGCCAGAATGCAATTAATGGAGCTATCGTTTGACCAAGATTTAGCTTTTTATTAGCTTTTTTCCCAAATGTGAGATTTGTTCATAGAGATTAGCTGAAATGTCATCTGAACCTTGAAGACCTTGTGTCACTGCATCTCAAGTTGCTTATCAGACTGCAATTAATGACTGGCACATTTGAGTGGACATCTTGGCTTGAGCATTCATTATCAGGATATCCGCTGGCTACGCCAGCCAAATTTTGGCGGCTGCCCCTAGAGGCTAAATTGTGGTGAGATCGATAGTCGATGGGTTCCAAGACCGCATGAGGGCTTTTGAATTAGGTGACATTCATCATGAATAAATGTATTTTATCAAACAGAAACCTTTTTAAGATAAAGGTTAATAAGCTAGAGGAACTACAACATCCCAGAGGTTTGTTATATCTATTCCATCCATCTTATCTGGGTCACAGTGATGCCAAAACATCCTTTTCTCCAACCATGTCCTCTTGCTCCTACTGAAGGATCTTAAGGTTCTCACTAGCCAGGCGGGATAAGTAATCCCTCCAGCAAGCTCTAAGTCTGCCCCAGGGTCTCCTCCCAGTTGGGTGTGCAAGAGAGGCTCCATAAAGAGGCCTCCAGTAGGCATATTAGTCAGATGCCCAAACCATCTGAACTGGCTCCTTTAAATGCAGAGCCAGTTCAGCTGGACTTGCTGGAAGACCTCCAGAGGGGGACATCTTGATCAGATTATTGATTGAATGAACTCAACTGACTCCTTTTAATGCGAACAAACACTCTGCAAAGAGGAATCATGTCAGCCCTTTGACGAATCAAACTAATGATTATGAGGGACGGTTGGGGCAAAGACTACTAAATCAGAAGTAGCTTAAAAAAAGAGGACAACAGAGCTACACCATCGGAATTAAGCAGAGATAGTACTCTGACTATACACAACTGGATTACTCAAAACACACCTTGGCACTTACTGTGTATTTCTGTGGTACTAATCTACAAGACACCAAGGGAGACATGGCCAAGACTTTTTGAGGCCCACACATGTCCATGGTTGGATGAATAAACTCTCATGAACCCCGCAGAGTCCTTGCAAGGGTAAGGAACAGGTTCATTTGTCAATGACCACAACAAAATCTGCTCAACCTGAATCTGGGTCTTCATCTTAGCACACGAGCGATGAGCAGCACATACCCCAGAACACCAAGACAACACTGCCAGTCTTGTTTTTTTATAAAATGGGAACCACTAACCTCAACCATCTGTTAGTCCATAGGCGCTGTCCCCAACCTCCATGCAACACTGAAAGGGCATGTCAACCAGGACAGCAAAACAACACTCAGAAATTTCACCACCTCAGGGTAAATTTCATCCATGTGGCATTTCATCACTTCAGGGCTTTTTGACCACCTCAGTGACCTATGCCAGAAGGAAGGATAAGGCTTCCCCTAAGTCTTTCAAGTCTGCCTCCACTGTGTTTACAGCATCCCCAAGTTCCCTAAATAGTTTATTTTATCACCCAGGTCAGCACTATTTCTCCCCTGTTGAGAACATCTTTCCGGAGATTACCAGTGGGTTCTTGGGTCGCTGCCATGAAAGGCAACAGTGATCTCTTGGCTGCAGCTGGGAGCAGTTGCTTACACAATGGCCCACTCAAATATCATGTCCCCAACCATGCCCAAGATGCAGCATATTCCTCCAGAGGTAAAGTGTGTGTTGCTGGTAAATCCTCCATGTTCCACACATTCCAGCCCCAAGGATACAGTTTTTGTAGCACAGCATCAACATACCAAGACCTTCACTTCTGCCTGCAATCTGACTTGCAGCACATCAGCCTACCACATCTAACATTGTGGGCCCACACTGTGTGGTTTGTGAGCTAAGAAATCTGACAAGATTTGGTGAGACATTAACACTATAATGGGGGCTTTGACGTCCGAAAAAAAAAAATGCTTTGTGTGGATGGCATTAGTGCTGCAGGATAGAGATGATTTAATTTATAGAGCACATCAGTGAGGATAACTTTAAATCCATAACCATGACTCTGCATGTCGTCAGCCTCAGCAGGAATGGTGTTTGAGATTTTAGAAAACCTCAGCATTTAATGCCTCCCCAACATTTCTTGATGGCATCCATTTATTCATATTTTATATTAGAATTCTTCAAGGATTATATAAACAGCATTCCTACTCTTCAGAAATAGGTTCTCTAAAAACACCAAATAGCAGTAACATGTCCAAGGGGTGGCTACTGTGTTAACTCTCTGAAAAAGAGCTTTTTAAGTCACAATTGTCTGAGCTTGAACACAGCATTACAAGTCATGATGAGACATCTCCAGTGGCCAGACATTTTCAGTTGGACATGACATTTGCTTCTTTGAGGTTTCAGGGCACAGAAGTACTGAAGTCTTTGAAATGCCAAGGGGATAGTAGATGGGGTATTTGAAGAGCTAAACTCTTTTTGAATACAATGACATGGGGTGTCTTAGAAACTTCCAAAATCTGAATAATGTCCCCAATGTAAGAACGCAAAACAGGTAAATTTCACATTGGACATGCTCGTCATCGTCCGTTGATCATGTTTACAGTCCTAAAGGGTTAAAAAAGGTAGATAGGGAAGAAATTTGTTCCAGAAAGAACATTTATCATCAGATATTTTTCTAGTTCTCACTCACTGTCTCCATGTCTCAGTGTGTCCACATGAGACAGGCACACCGGCGCTTGAGGCAGTGAAATAGCTAAGAGAGACGTAATAGGACGAAGGAAACATGAAAGTTAGAGGGCAGTGGGAATATATAGTAGCATGCTGAGGGGGCTGTGGAGATGCGTGGGGTGGTACTGTACCTCTGTTGCCAGTGACTGTGGGGTCTGAGACGTGGGTGCCTAATAGAGCGGTAGGATCTGGAGGGATGGGATGTAGGGGGGGAGTGGTGGATGGAGGCAGGGGGACGTCTGGTGGAGGGGACAGACAGACACATATACACAAAAATAATACAACAACAACAACAAAAAATGAATTCACATGGGGACAGTTAGATACGATAATAGAGCAACACAAACTGGTCAAAATATTATATAGTGAATGGAAACAAAAAAGGGCAAAATTATGACACAGTTCAAAGCATAAACACAAGATTGTTGAAAACAAACACTCATGAATTACTGCTGATGTTAGGAAATGCACTAAATAACATAAATTAATTCAATTGCTCACCTTCTTTGCTGCCTCTTTTTTGACTGAAAGGGACAGTTCACCCCAAAGGCAAAAACAAATATTTTTTCCTCTTACCCGTAGTGCTATTCATCAGTCTATTGTTTTGGTGTGAGTTGCAGAGTGTCGGAGATTATAGCTGTAAAGATGTCTACCATCTCTCGAATATTATGGAACTAGATGGCACTTGGCTTGTGCAAACCCTACAGCGATGTCTTTTTCCAGAAATCATGACCCATTTACTCGAGATAATCTACAGACCTTATTGTAAGCAGTTTCATTTTGGAACTGTTGTCCTTCTACCCAACTAGACCCACTGACTGTATCGTCACGCAGAAGGAAGTGTGCATCTACTACTAGCTTACCTAGCACCACTGAGCAAGCTACTTTTACAGCTCAGCCAAGGAGGACGCCATTGATATTTGTATCTCATGCTGTAACAGCACAAGTCTCTCGTCCATGAGTAGATGCTTGTATTTTGATAGAAGGAAAATAGTTCCAATATAAAACTGCTCACAACAAGACATTGTTGTTGAGTTTTTCAAACGTATTTTTTATAGAGCTTTAGGCACCACAACTCGAATGCCATCTTGTTCCGTTAAGGCCCAGACACACCGAACTGACATCAGAGAAATAGTGGCAATGAAAGCTGACTGTTGTATTGCCTTTACACCGCCTATGTCTCCACCAAAAATCTGTACGTGAATACGCTGCAAAGACTACAGGCATAGGCGCCTGATCAGTGGAGCAAGTGGAGCAAATGCATCCCCATTACTCAATGAGGGGGAACAAAGTTTTCATTTTACTACCCTACGTTTTGTCTTTTTAAAATTAAGTTGTTATCATACAGTCCCCGTAATGAAGTGATTATAATTAAACAAGTAGCAAGAAAATTACACATTTTTGGGACCTCCCTTTGAGTTGGTTCAGTCCGTACCATCTCTCTATAACCATCTTGATCTCACCCCCTCTTGACTTTGGCTGTTTGTTTACTTTCCTCACTTCCGCAGAGCAGATGGGGCTGACAAGGGGCAACGGTGCAGGACATACGCACCAACTACAGCAACAGATGCTCACCGATTACCCAACACTGACTGATGGCCAACTGTCAGCTTGGTTTGTCAGGGCCTTCATACTTGAGTGAAGGCAGACATCTCAGCAACTCACACCAAAACAATATAGATTGAGAAATACTACTACGGGTAAGAGGAAAAATATATATTGTCCCTTTAAAATGACTGTCTAGGTCATATTAGAAGAGACCAATACATGGTTAAATAGCTGAAGGTCTCGTATGTACTTATAACTGTTGAGCATTTCCTGTCTCAAGGAAAAGACAGGCATAGATTTTGGCTATATTCAGACTTTTTCTCCATGGGTGGGAGCAGCCTCTGGGTATTATCTTGGGCAAAGTGCAAAATCTGAAATAGAGTGATACAGTTTGAACTTCAAGTGTGATGGAAGACACATTTTGCAAGCTGACATCCTCTTGTTACGTTTATGTCCCAATCCCCTATATTTTCCTTTTCGTTACGTCTTAAAATGTCCTGTCTTTGAATGTGAGCGTCATTTCTGTAGCAAGAGAACAAGATTATTTTTGAATCTGCTGATGTTGGCTCATGTCTGCGAGAATAGATCCTGCACTTGACACCTCTCCACACCAAATGCAGAAAGTCAATTGACAAATGATCTGTGCCAATTATCTGTTTACAAGAATGACTTCAGGAAAAAGCAGCCAAGCCATCATCACCAGTGTGCTGTTTTTTTACCTCTCACTGCAGTATCATGGTAAGAGTGCTTCATCCAGGGCAGTGTTTCTCGCTGTCACATATTAAAGCAACAGGAATAAAGGGGACTGAAACATTGCGTAACAAAGTTAATGAGGTTACACTACCACCTTGGCTTTTATGTTTGTGCCACTCTGCTTTTTATGGTGAGCTTGAGGCTTTTAATTGGCTGTGGTACTCTTTCTCAGGGCCAACTGTCCTGCGCGTCTCGGTGACATTTCAGCCTTACCGTGAATCACTGAGCAGCTAAGTGCATGTCTTCAGGAAAGAGGGAAGAGAGAGAATGTCTCCTTGTTGGAGGGGAACCATTAAAAAGGTATTTTCGAAGAATTATGGCGGCAATTGTGAAAGGCTAAAAGGTGTGCTAATTACTAATGAAGGGTAGGAACAGACTGGGTGCCATTTCAAAAGAACAGGTAATGAATAGCACTCTTTGACCCTCCCGTACCCAATTGCCTTTTTCTGTGGTGTAGAATTTGTCAGTTTAATAACATCACTGTCATTATGTGCATTGGTTATTCTTGTTGTTACATTCAGCTGGCATTTGAGGGAACTGTTAGGTGCACACAGACACCATGGCATGTGGGACATTCATTAAGTCTCCCCAAACTATTCACTGCAATTAGGCAAGGGGTTACTGGGGGCGTGAAAAGGAAGTGCAAAATGAAACTTTTGAGGTTTAAGTAATAAAGGGCTCTGATATGCCAATTTGGGTGGACTGATAATTTATTACACAAGATAATTACATTATTTTTCTTTCACCTTGCATGATCCTCATCAATATTCTGCAAAATATCCTTATTTAAACTCTGGTGATCTGACGTGCAGATGTATGTGAATTCTATTTGTGTGCTTAACATCTCTCTCTGCTTTAATGCAGCCTTCACATAGGATCTGAATTTGAAAGAAAAAAGTATCACAAATATCAGATATTTATGATACCTCCTCAGTGTGGATGTGCTTTGTGGCTTTAAATGCAAATGTGACACCTGTGACAGAAATTATTTAACTAAATATCTTAGTTATGTGACTATTAATGTTGTTTAAGGTCCAGTGTGTAGGATTTAGGGCTATATATTGGCAGAAATATAATATTCATAACTATGTTTTTATTAGTGTGTATCACCTGAAACTAAGAAATGTGTTTTCGTTTGGTGGGCCCCCCAGAAATTTTTCATTGGGTTGGCCAGATGGGACCACTGAAAATCTTGAGGTGGCACACCAAAACTGAAAGCCATAATTGAATATCAGGAATTTGCTTACGCTGTTACGGTATACAGACCAGTTGAAAACTAAGTCAGTACGGAGAGTTAAGGAATCACATACTGATGTACTCTGTTTTCGTATTTTACAGATAATACTACTAATTATCTGATGTACATAGATGTATACTAGTACAGTTAACATTTTGAATCATTCCTGTATTTACTTGTACATGTTAGACAATTCATTATATTCATATTATACAGCTTCAATTTGAGGAAGTTTGAAAGGAACAAAACATTTACTGGGAACATGCCATCTCAAGTTTAAGGGAAACTCATGGGTACCCATAGAACCCATTTTCAGATATCTTGAGGTGAGAGTTCATTTAGCCTAACCTTGGAGCATTATTTCATCTCTTTTCTGACAAGCTACGCTAACATTGAGAACAATTCTTCAATACTTCCTGTACAGAAATAAGAACTGTTTTCCTTTTGTACATAGAAAAAGAACTGTACATTCTGTATTCTTGTCTGTTTTGGATTATGGGGATGTTATATACGGAAAAGCTGCTGCCTCTACACTGAAATCACTGGATGCTGTCTACCACTCAGCCCTAAGGTTCATTAAAAGGTAATCCCATCACTGCCACCTTTACCTAAAGGTCAGCTGGCCACATTTGGCTGTGAGGCGGGAACAGTATTGGTATTTGTTCATTTATAAAACCTTGATACAGATGCTTTCACCCCATATTTCATCCCCTTTAACTCTGACCTCACATAATCTTAATGTTCACTCACAGAATAGGTTGTTGCTTCACATTCCCTTTATCAGAACTGAACTAGGAATGTGCCATTCTCTTACAGTGCACCATATACATGGAATAATCTGCAAAAGACCTTAACCTTGGACACTCTGCCACCCTTATGGCTGTTTAAATACCTTATTTCTGATCTCGTTTTAATTGAGTGTAGATGCTTTTACCTATACATCTACACCATGACATGTTTATCATCCTGTATTTCTACTTTTTGCAAGCATTTATCGCTGTTGTTGCTTTGCATGATTTCATTTCTGTTTTAACTGATATGCATTATGGTTCTCTGTTTGCTCACTGATTGTTTTTAATGTCTTTGTTCATGCTCGGTCTCCCTCAATTGATTTCCTGAGTCCTCAATAAAAGTTTGTATGAATGAATGAATGAACATGGTTGGTACCAATGGATGCCTTTGTTGTTTAGTTTCATATGACACTACCTTCATAGCCTCTTAAAGACAGTAACATTAGCCTCAAATTAATTTCATCAGTTGGGTGGCTACCTCAGAATGTGCAGTTTATAAGAGTTAACCACTGAGTTAACCACAGCCCAGACTGGACAAACACTGGCTCTACATAGGGCCATTTGCAATTTCACGTCGGCCACCATAGTTCCTCTACAAGCTTGACACATGAGAGAAGTTTCAGTTGGTTGCAGTCTGCAAACTCACCACTAGATGCCACTAAATCCAACACACTGGACCTTTAATACTACATTAGGTGGTTTGAAAAAGGTCTTCATACAAATTAAAAACCCTACATTTGTCGTGTCGCAGTAGCTTCTGTGTAGGATGAACAATCAGAAATATAGTGTGCAGACAGCGTTGCTACGTAGGAGAAGTCGAGTTTGACTTGTATAACTTTGGGATTTTACCTTGTCCTTACCTTGAATTCACCCATTTTAATATCACTCAGCTGACACTACTAAGGACTGCTAGCCAATTTGTAAGACATTAAAATGTCTTAATAATTAATGTTATTAATTATTGTCCTTTTTCAACATTCCTGACTAAGTTTTCCTGTGTTGCTGTGGCCTTGGCTACGACCACCAGAAAGCACTTCATGAACTATTGACGGTAACCTTGGTTACATCCTTCATCGCTCCCGATCTGGTTATTACTGTACAACCACCAAGGACAGTCAAGAGCATACTAGAAATCACTGTAGCTCTGGCAAAGCATAGCTATCGGCTATGGTTTATTCTTTCATGTTCATCAGATTAAAACTGCTTTTAGAGAAGAGAGCAAATGGAACACCCCCCTAGGTGCATGTAATGATAATAATGTAATATTTTATTGATCCACTTAGGGAAATTCTCTTTTGCCTCCAGTCTTATGGTCTCTCTGGCCAAAAAAAAAAAACTACCTTCCTTTTTGTCCCTTATTACACACACTACCTAATTTCCCAAAACACAGGGTAAGGAGATGTGTCACTGCTCTGCTTCCTTTTTAAGCAGTTTTACGTAATGACAAGAGACAAATGGCAGTGGAGAAACGGAAGCAAAGAAGAACTATCTGTTTTTCCCTCGCGCTGGGTCCCTTTATCCCCCACCTCCTCTGGCGTTACTAGGAATTACTTATCCTTCCTGGTGATATTCCTGACAACGCAGCACTAAATTCTGCCTCCCTCACACATTTCCCCTTCTGGTGTGTGTCTGAAAGTGTGTGTGTGGAGGATCTGGGACGCAGGTTTATTTAAGGAAAGGCGTTGGTGGCATTTGTGTCACCTGAGGCCCTTATTGTCCCTGTGAGAGATGGTACCACTAATCACTCTTAGCACTGATACAGTATGCAGATCAGGATGTGTTATAATCTTGGTTTTTGCACTGAAGTTTGGTGTTGTGCCCGTGAGGTTCATACTTTCCCCTATTTATCTGTGGCATTATTGGAGTTGAAGGCATCCTCTTGTAGCTTTTTTCCTTTCAAAGGTCCTTCATCTGTAAGTTGTCCAAAATGAGTTAACACAATTACCCACATATCAGGTTTTCCTTTAAACTCACCATAGACGTAGAGTGTATATTCAGCACTGCTGGTCCCTAGGTGATTCCCGGCTTCACAGCGGTAGGTTCCATTGTCTGTCTTGTTGAGTGAAGTAAAGGTGAGCTCCCTCCCCTCTACAATCATCCTGTCCAGGTCAGGAAGTTCACCCCCGTCCTTTGTCCACATCACAGGGTCTGGCCTGGTAGGTTAGAGGATGTGAAAGAGAAACAAGGCACACTTCATGTCCCTGTCTGAAGCATTGTATAAAAGGCTGACATCAACTAACGCAGAATTTGAGTGACTTACGAGGGGTTTCCTTTGGACACACACTCCAGCTTTAAGTACTGGCCCTCCTGAGGGAAAGCGAGGGAGTGGGTGATCTCTACACGAGGAGCATCTAGGACAGACAGAGTGTGGGTGACAATATTGAATACGTTTAACTTTTCCATGGTTATCTCTGCCAAAAAAAGGTTCATCCCAGTGAGTTTTCCTTGAACAAAATCCTACAGTTTTCAAAATGTAATTATTCAAGATGTGAGTTTTGGATAAAATATTACATAAAAAGAACAGTGATTTATGATATGTCCTTATAATAACATTGTCCCGATTCAAACACAGTGCATGGAGTTTTTCATAGGTGATAAATTATTACATTTTCTTTCCCAGCTTAGAGGATTCTGCAGCTGTAAAAGCATTCTTAGTTACTTCCTCTTTCATGTGTATTTCTTTATCGGCTTCTGTCTGTATACGCAGTCCACGTGTGTGAGCGTGTGCATGTCTTAGTGTGTGCACTCACAGTGGACCTCCAGGACTTCAGTGGCCTGCTGTGGTGTCTGTGCGAGTGCCACATGGTCCACTCTGCAGGTGTAGGCCACTCCATCATCATTTCTGTCCACGTGCAGCTGCAGAGAGCTCCGTACTGTAAATGTCTTCCCACTTGCATTCACCTCTTTGGCACCTTTGGAGAAAGTTGCATACTGTCACAGATGCAGCACATTTATCTTGCAAGGAGTCAGGGCCACACATCAACGTGATGCCCCTGTGTTTAACAGTTTGGTTGAGCCCTGCTTCACAACGAGACTCCATCAGGGTCTTCTATCTATATAGACAAGGACTTTTCATGCCATGCAACAAGCACCTAAATGAAAAATTTCACAAATTCTTCATACTGACATCTCTGTAGTGGTGCTTGGGCATTTCAGTGCATCCACATGGACATGAGTATCCTGGTTGACTTAAGAAACCCAGATAAGCTGTTGCGTGCATACACCTTGTCCCGGTCATTAAGTGCTGCCAACTACCTGCACAGGAACGGCAGCCAAAGCGCCTCACTTTTGTCTGTTCGTAATGAAAGAGGCTGTGTATTTTCATCCACTGCTTGCCTGTTCTACATGGTGGTAGCGACAGGCTGACATCAGTTGAAGTGCAGGACAGTGTTATAGAGTAGCATGGCTTCTCTCAGGAAATCAGAGCAGAGAAGACATTAGCAGTAAAGCTGTCAAATGGTTGCAAATTTACAGTGTTGGTTTCAGATTAGTGTTGTAAATATCAAAGCACCTGCACAAATAGAATGCAGAAATCAGTAACCGGCATAATAATATTTATCATGTATATGGAGATATGAATAACCCCATTCCTCTGCATTACATGTAAAGTAAACATCATATCCTGAATGAAATCAAAACCAGGATAATCCTCAGAACTGGGATACTCATGACCACATATTACATAGGTGTTTTTGGACCAGAAGGACTTTTTCATAGCTCTAAGAAACTAGCTCTAGGAACCTCTTCATGTGCTGTGTTTGCACCATAAGAATACATGATTTTGACTCATCAAAGCTAAAGTGATATTGCGATACCACCCGTTGGCTGACTTACAGTACGTCACTTCAGTGTTGCTATTGGCATTGCAAATGCAAACAGAAAAAAAACCCTTGAAGATAAACTCTCTTGTGGGAGCTCCCCATTGGGCAGTTCCACTCAGGGAGTCTACAGAACCGTTTGGTCAAAAAACGCCTCATGATTCCTAAAAAACTCATGAACAGAAAAAGGTTTTAGACCAAAAAAAAAAATCAATAATCAAACAAACAAAATTATCAAATGAGAAAAAAGACCCAGCTCACGTCACCAGCTCATCTCCAGTCCTAAAGCACACATCCAACACTTGTCTGAACTGTAACAAAACCCACCTGACTCTCCTCTAGGTCAGGGTGTTTTCGAATGTAATGTGTATATTTTCACTGTAGGCGAGGGGTTCTTAAAGTTTCAATGAGTAATTTGCCATTTAGGGAGCCGGCATTTTGATCGGCCGCCACATAAGAAAAGTGTGAAAATAAAACAAAATCTTTTTTCCATCTTACTGTCATGTTAAACTGTTGACTTGTCCACTAAAATCGCTAACTTTTGCTAACAGCACTGATGACAGAATGTAATACTTGTGATACTTGCTAGGGGCAAGTTGACATTCCTCACCTGACACTTGTTAGGGTGGCGCAGTTTGATGTAGTGTGATGCATAGCTTAGTAGCGTATTAAATGTAACCTATTGGAAGCAAAAGTATTGAAATGGGCTGCAGATAATTAAAATATGCATTGCATGTAATGTTCAGGGGCTGCACAAAATGTTTTGAGGGCCACCACTGGTCCAAGGGCCACACTTTGACAAACTACGCTGTAGGCCTTCATAACCACCTGTGGCCTCACCTAACATCTCTGCCTGAGGCTTCTTGGGCCTCAGTGCTCCCACACGATGTCTAAATCTCACCAAACACTTTCATGCACTTCACTTCTACCTCTCCCTCCAGTCCTTGTACCTGACATCCATTTCTAGCCTCACTGGGACAAAAACATAACGAGGGCCAATCAGACATTTGGCAATAACTTCAATCAGTCTTGTTGCAAAGTATCATTATGCACAGTCCTCTCCATCTGTACAACCTGCTCTCAGAGCTACCCCTTCAACACCTGCCTTGTAATAAGAACCAAACAGCTGATCCACCTCTCTATGCCCATCAACACCCCAGTCATTGCCAAGGCATTGGAAAACTCCTCCAACCCAGTTTCGTCAAATTATCTACATGATGTCCTGAAATTTGGCTTGCTCCTTGATCACATCATTATTGCTTCATTTGCCTCCCCAGTGATATCAGCCTTAGATAAGCCAAACGTGTTTGATTAAAGTTTCACGACCAGCCCTCATGACACCAATCTTTGACCACCACATTAGCGTCCTTGAAATCTTATTGGCTCGCAATAAATCATCATGCCTGAAAGCAGTGATGCCTAGTAGGTAAGAGACACAGACTGACCGGGAAGAGACTCAAAATAACCACAAGGAAACACAGAACGACTACAAAGAGACACACAAACAGCTACAAAAGAGATGCAACATAGCTGCAAAGAGAAACAAAGAGACTCATAAGGACTACAAAAGGGGGCAAAACAACCACAGAGACATTAAACAACCACTAAGAAACTCAAAATGACTACAAAAGAGACGAAAGAAACACAGACAAAAAATAATTACAGAAAGGCTAAAACATCTATGAGGAGACACAAAATGAGCACCAACAGACAGAAAACCTCAGAGAGATGATTACAAAGAGACGCAATATAACAAAAAGAAACTAAACAACTACGAAGCCTGTGTGTCTTGCTCCCATGCACAAAAGTTGGTGGGGCCTTTCGCATGTCTCTGCCCAGGGGCCCAATGTTTCATAACTCGGCATTCGGTAGAGAGGTCATTTGAACAAGAAGGTTACAGAGTTGACTCTTGCACCACTGATTCCCTCCGTCCCCGTCAAACTGTCCTTGAGCTTGACACTCTGTACTTGGTCAGGGCGCCCTGTGCACGGTCCAGATGACCAGAGTTTCGACACCACACAGAATGACAGTCCAGTGCTAGACTGAGATCCTCTCTGCATACCTAAGAACACCTCATTAATTCTTGCTGTTTTACACGTTCCTATTTACCAGCCTGAAAAAATAAAGCTAAAGTAAGAATAACCCTCAGAATTTAGGAAACATCAATGTCCTCTACAGTGATCCTCCACGATTTCATACCTAAATAATTTAGGATCTGTTGCTGTGTTCAGGTACTGTACCAGACAACATTTGCAGATGCCAATTTTTTGATGAAGTCTCAGCCTACGCACATGACATGAATGTTCTCCGAAATTCAGACTGTTAAGTATGCGTTATGTAATACAAATGACCATCCTCCTCCAGACTACACACTTAAGCCAACATTCACAACTCACCACCGCTAAGATCTGCTTTTACTAGCTGTAACTTAATTGCTTATACGCATCCACCTCCAAGCAGGTATTTATAACACATCCTTCTTTTCAGTCACATCTGTTCAACCAGTCTGTTGGGGGTGGTTGGTCTGCTCGCACCATGCCAGCAGCCAGTATTTTAAATCATATCAAACCTGCTCATCCACACTCCTACAAGGTTTTTCTTCATAAGAGAGAGAGAAAAAAAACTATAATGCTGTGTTCAGCTGTCCAGGCTTATCTCTGCATTCAGGTGTCGCCCTGCTTTGTGAAATCATGTCCCTTTTTCTTTTCTCATCATAGCAAATTCAAGCAAGCATCAGTGTATGTACAGTGTCTCTCTCTCTCTCTCGCTCTCTCTCTCTCATGCTGGCCGCCTTTGTTTGTATGTCCTAAAGAGACTGTTTACGCTCCATATCCTTCTCTCCTCTGCGCTCATCTGCTCCACTTTCTAAGCATTCCACCCCACTGTCTCCTCTCCCTCTCGATTCTGCCAATCAACTATTCCACTCAGTCACTTCCCCCCAACTGAGGCAATGAGCCCGCCTCCCCTAGAGATGAATGACTGACAGGTCTGCAGTGTTAGCAACATCCACCCAGACAACAAGGGAGAGGGGAAAAATGGCTGGGTTTCTTCTCAAAGAAGAAATTGCTGGAGACAAAGGAGAGAAAGAAAGAGTGTAGGAAGGAAGAGGACATCGAGTTTTTAATATCGTGGCATGCTTTAGCAGCTGCAAACATTCTCCTATTTCTAGTAGTTATTCCACGTCCTCATAGACTGCTTCGCCCTGCCTCTTTGTCTCTCCATCAGTTAAACTTGTCTTTCTCCTCCTCCTACAGATATACTGTTTTCAATGTCACCCTATTGTTTTTGTCTTTTTCCTCTATTCTCTTGTTATTGTACAGAGATGCAAATCCCCTGCTGTCCTGATGTGCAAAGCAAAACCAAGCCAAGCCAGCACGTCATTGGAATGGCTAGCAGCGGAGGCTATTTAAACTGAATCGTCACTGAATGATGACGAAGCCCATCTGATGTCACCTCAACCTATTTGGAGGCAGTCAGGCACGATTTGACCTCCACAGATGGTCGATCTCCGGCACGAATTTGGAACATTTAAACTACTAATGGAAACACAAATCAGAATGGCATGGTTTGACTTGGCGTGGCCAAAAGTACCAATGGAAAAGTCTTAGATGTATTGTTGAGGTTAGTTTGGGATTAATGAGAAGTCGGTTGAAGTGGTCACACTCCTAGACTATAAAATAATGGACATAGCTACCCTGACATCACCCATTGGTTTATGGACTCCCTTTTGTGAAGCCGTGGTTTTGGTATTTTGGCCATAGCTATCTTACCCTATCCTTAGAGCCAGTCCGAGACACCAGGGATCAGCACACCCGGGACCCTGCCCTTGCCTGCCGCCCCACGCGCAATGCACTCAAACCCTGATTTCAGTCCCTGCAGGTGGTGGACCCACAGGGTGACAGCTCCATGTTACTTATATGGGCTGAGCCCAACTGGCACACATGGCCCAAGGCCCAGCCACCAGACACTTGCTGGTGAGCTCCCCCCAGGTCTGGCTCCTGGTGGCCCCATGCCGGGTGAGATGCTCAAAGTCTGAATATTCCATTTCATCAAGGTCTACTTGAATCGCTCTTGGTCTGGCCCCTCCCCTTGGA